CCCTTCTGGTACACATTGGGGAATGCCAAAAATATTCACATGAAATGCTCCCTCGAGTTAATTTTTACCTCACTTGCCTTGGAAAAGACAATTAACCTACAAACTGCAGAACTCAATTCTGCTTTGCTACGTAAACAAAATCATGACTGAATCTATCGGGCCACTATGGGAGATGATGCTCATGTTTTTTTAAGTTCCTAAAATCTTCAAGTTAGATGTACAATCTTTGTTTCAAAATGAGACCTCCTTAACAAAGTTTGGCCATTAACCCTCAACTTAAAATCGAACATTTCAGGACTATTGTATGCCAGTTATCTTGTTTTACTGATAAACAGGAACAACATTGAAAACTATCTAACCGTAATCAGATATTAGCTCTTCTAAAAGAAACTCAATAAGACGCCGGACACCAAAAAGCAGCTCAATTTCGTTAGCCACACACGTACGCATTGCGGACCTACTTTGTTTTTAGAGTCAGGGTGAACGGTGGGGGAACGGGGAAAGGGATTGTCAAGGAGGCGAAACTTTTTTTGACTCCACCCTCTCCCCTCTCCTTCTTTTGACCGTCACTTACCCCCTCGGTACAAACATATCTCTCTCCCCAGCCTTCCACTACGGTAAATTTCAATGATGGCAGCTATAATGTCACCAATAGGAAACTGTGAAATTGCTCTCCAAAATTACGCTTATTAACCTTTACCTGGGGTATTTCTCTCTTCTCAGTAACATAAAGGTTTGGTATTTTAGATGTTTTGGACAATCTAACCGAGTAAGACGTAAAACGCAAAAACTGTTGTAATTCATCAGTGCTAAGTTATGATTTCATAGAATCTGCGCAAAAGATCAGATATTCGACAAAAGTTTAGATGGCCAACAGTCCAAAGAGCTACGGCTGAACAGTTTCTAAGAGCTAACTAACATCCAATAAACAGAGTTGTTAACTAACAGCCTCTTAACTTTAGGTTGAATCATTTCTCTCGGCTATAGTGTGGTTATTTTTTGAAGTGAATTATTGGTCAAATATTTTTACTATTTTTCAAAGATCGCAGGTATTAGTCTTATGGCGTTCATCAAAAGCCAATTATTAGTATCAGCCCAAGAGGTTCCTGATGCAAGATTATCCTTAATCCTGAAACTAAATTCATTTGCCTAGTACCCTCCGTGGCTTTTCCACTGAAAAAAATCAACCAGAATGAATTCAAAAGAATCTAAATTTCCGTTTTGTAGGTGTAGCATTAAATTACTGCCATAACTGTGATGTAATCTGTAACATATACTTTTTGACTGTTTGGAAAGAATTATCACTTAAGCAGGGTTTGCAGCTCATATATACATAGAAGATAGTTAATAGACAAACTTGTAGCTGCACCAGCGCACAGTTTTTTAAGGGAAGAATAAAAGTATCGTCTTGCATTCTCAGTTATCAACCTTGATCGACTCCATAGTTAGATCCGAAGTTCGTTTGACATCAATATCTTCAAGAACCTGCGTGGTTCATTTATTGTGCCCGTAGCTACTCAGGGTGGTTTTCAAAGTCATAACCGGAAGCAAAGAGCACTCTCCCCACCATCAAGTGATAAGCGCCAAAAAAAGGAAGAGCAAACCCTCTGAGTTGTGTGTCAGTTAGATCAACTTTTTTCAAAATAATTGACTGAAGAAGAGTGAGAAGTGCAAGAAAATCTTTCAGGCCCAGTGCCCCCTTTCCCTAGAGATATAAGAATACAAATTGCAGGAAACTATCGAACTGAGTTTCCGAGTGGACGCCAAAAGGCCGTGGGTATAGATTAGGCTTCTTCCAGCTTCCACTATGTAAATTTTGGATCCGCCACTACATTGACTATACATTAAACAACAAAGGGAATATCAAAAGTACTGTCCCTTATTGGGGGCACTAAAGTCACAAAGTAGTTTATAGAAGAGCACTACAAATATAGATGAAGTAAACAAACAAAAAGATCCCATTAAGAAAGGTAAACAGCGCAAATAAAGTAGAGGAAACAATCAAGTGAATCGACACCGTAAAGCAAAGTGTGTCAAACAATGACTGTTTTCGTGAAGATGAGTTCTACAATTGAATAAAACAGTTTCATCAGCATGTAGATTAACAAGGCCCAAATCTCGAAACCTCTCTCATTGATTTATGATCAATTAGGGACCTGTGATGATGGGGTCTTGAGCTACATTGTTTAAGATAAAGGGGGTC